CCCCCCCCCCCCCCCCCCCCCCCCGCCCACGACATCACCACGGCCACCGCCGTTCCCCAAATTGTGACTAAATGAGAATGTAAGGGAGCGAGGCTAAAAGCCAAGGTCGAATGCTCTTTAACTCCGTTTCGAATTCGCCTTAAACCCAACCCTCAACCTCACTCAACCCACCAACAACACCAATTAATAATAGGATCAATGCTGACCGTCGGTCGTCGAGTCGGAGAGGTTGCCGCCGATGCTTGTGGCGCCGCCGCTTTCTCGGTCGCTCGAGCCCCGGACCCCGCTGTCTGCGCTGCAGCTTCCCCGGTCCCCGGCCTGCCCGGTCCCGGTGCCAACTGGCCCAATGACCACGAGCTCGCCTGCCGAACCATGGCCCGGCTGTTGTTGTTGTCCGAGATGCCCGAAAAGACCGCCGCCGCTGCTGCCGCCGCCACCGCTGCCGCTGCCACCGCCACTGCCACCTCCTCCACCGCCACCACCGCTGCCAACGCCAACACTACCGCCGCCGCCACTTCCCGCACCCGGAGTCACCGCTCCGTTCAGACTGCCCCGTGGGAACGAGATCAGCGATTCCTGGTCGCTGAGACTCACGCCGCCGCCCACGCGCTCTGCCAGCTGACGCTGAAGCTGTGGACAGACGCGTATTTTGAGCGATTCGAGGGGATGATTATCCTTAGTAAGCGATATCTCAATGCTGTGTGCTTGTAGATAGATGTTGAACGGATAATTAAGAGCTCGCGTTGTGAAATAAAGTACCCAAGTATGCTTATTGCTGATTGTAAGCAACGCGGCATGTTATATCTGATAAATCCATTAGTAATATTTAGCTTATGTCTACTGTAAAATGTAATCAATACAATTGCTCGTTCGTTTACACCCTTGTTTATGTTCGATTCATTTATCGTAGCATCAATCAATTAGAAATTGATCCTAAAGTATTATTACTTCTTGCTCTATCATTATCTCAGGCACAATCTATAAGTGACGGCAAATGTCAAATATTTTATTGGTTGAAATATTCGTAATTTTGCTCGCGATGTACATTCTTTTAAAATTAATTTAAAGTACATATGCCATTTATCCTCCTCCGTATCAATCGCGTAAAGTGACTCTGAGATCATTCTAGTAAAAAAAAAAAAAAAACAATAACAAACGAAAAACAAACAAACAGAAAATCTCTTTACTTATCAATACTCCTCTAGCGATATCTTGAAATAATCTTTTGTAAATTAATGGCCATTCGCGCGTAATATCGTATAGATCTTTTATAGCTATAAGCTTGCGTGTAAACGTTAGAGAAAGCTATCACCGAACGGTATCTCTATAATGTTATATGAAATTTGATATAAAGTGCAAATGTCCGTTATAAATGCAAAATGCCGTAAAAACTTTTACGTAAAATAATCCAAGTCCATAGAAAGAAAGTAATCGCGTAACAACGTGTTTTTTTCCTTTTTATCCGTTTACCTTTAATAAAATTATTTTCTCGGGAGCGTTGCATTAGCGTCGCGGCAATTCGCGCGATAATTACTATAGATTTGTCATAGTTAAGATAGTGAGCGATTGACGTTATCTTTGCCCGCGACGTTACCAAAAGTAAAAAGCTCGTCGGGCTAAATCAGCCTGCGATTGAACGCTTAAATTGATGAAAAACAATGTGAATAGAGGGAACGGCGAGGGACGCTTAGCAAATGCTAACTCTGAAATTAGCAAAATCGAAGGAACAGGTGCTCGGTCCTTATGGTATCAATTTGTTAGCCGAGGTAACCGAAGAGACTGTTGATAAATCACGGGAAGTGATGCAGCATTTAATAACGAAGGCTCGACATTGGATTATTCAAGCCTTGGATTAAAGTTCCTGGGGAAAATGGAATTTTTAATACGCCTAGCCTCGGAGACCAGGATACACGAGTGCGGTCGCTGCTCCCCCAAGACTCGTAAAATGTGGACTGACTGCGACCGCCTCGTAGCGAGGGCCTGCTGACAGGCTACGCGGGCCAAGAGTCGCTCGATCGGCTCACCTCCTTGATGGTCGCGTGGGCGTGGGAGAGGGCGGCTTCCTTGTCGGCGAGGTTCGCCGCGAGGGTGAGGCTCCTCTCGGCCTCGTCGCGTGCCGCTCTGAGGAGGCTCCAGCGCTCTCGCTCCAACTCCAGTTCGCGCTCCTCGGTGCCTACGCTCGGCTGCTGCATCCTGCCCAGATTCGCCTCGCTCTCGCGCATCCGCTGAAACAAATCGAGGACCCGGGTTAGTCGTTGATCGGGCAGATTCGATTGGCACAACGTTCTGAGTTTAAGGTTTCGCTAATTGCCATCCGTTAGTTCTAACAGAGAATATTTGGTTATAAAGCGTTATTGCGAGCCATTGGTTTGTGGCGATCAATATGCCGTGAATTGTAATTGCGAAAGTCAATTTCTTTAGTTGGTGACCCCGAATCGCAAATTACATGCACATGTTTTATAGATAAATGCGTGAGAATTATAACACTTATGGATTAATTGAATAACGTCGTTTTATCAAGCCTTATCGGCATTATGTAATTTGTTGCTTTATCGGGGATTTATCGAGGGTCAGGCAAATCGTTGGGTGAGCGGTAAGGAATTTCGTTTAAAAATTGAACGTTTAAAATAGTTCAATCGAATCCGCTTTTACGTTACCAAGTCATTGCTATAACTTTCGCCCCTTCGGCTTTTAATGTAAATGTAAATGGAGGTAAGCGTTTCTTGAATAATGAAAATAGCTTTTCACGCGAATAGCAATTCCATACGACTACTCGCGGCACTTTTTCTTTCATGCGAATTTCTTTTTTTCGCACTTGTCTTTTCCCGTTACGTGGGCCTTTAGTCGAAGTCCCATTATCATCATCGCTCGAAATAATGTCGTTCGCTTAAAAGAGCAATGCAAGCTGAAAGTTTTAATAAACTATGATCGTCGTATTTAAGGAGAAATACTCGAATGTAGGTGAAAAGCCAATTAGCTCAATCTATCGAAATTGCTACGAACTCTATGGCAGAATAATCCATTTATTAGTCTTGGCCACTTCCGCAACGTTGTTTATACTTTGTGAAAAATTGCTCATCGTTATAATTGCTCTGAACGTATTTAAGTCTCGATGGTCAATGATGAATGACAGAAATGAAGATTTTTAATTGATTAAAATTCCATTTGTGGACGGTCGACGTAGCATTGATTTTCGAAATATCTCTTATTTTCTTGCTTCGCAAAGGATTCATTCAAAACTTGTTTGATTCAATTTTCATTCGATTAAGAAATTAATTCTTAATCGATCGTATGACCATTTGCTTGTAACACTTAAAAAAATATTATCTTAATGTTAATATAATGCGAGCGAGGATAGACAGTTTGAGGCTATCTGATGAACCATTTAATTAACATATCAGTGTAATTTAAAACTATTTCCCGGTTATATAATGACAGATAATGCAATTAAATTGTTAGATAAAAATATAAAGTGTTGGGATTATGCTAATTAATACGATTAGAATGTGACTCGAGCTAAAAAATATATTTACAGCCTAAATAATATGAAATATACGTAATGTGCTTTACTCACATATATCTACAATAATATTTTCGGTGTATTAATTTAATACAATATATACATACTTTTAGAAATATTTTTTTAAAACTTTTGTACGTAATTAAATAGTTCAGCGTTATATTCAATCCGTGAGAATTTATTAAAAAGTCCGTGTTAAAAGTAAAATAAAAACCAGCAGAGTTAATAAGATGGATGAAAATTGGATAAAACTTAAAAGCGAAAGAGCCGAGAGACGACAAAATCGTAGAGTGATGAATATCAAATAGACGCGTTTTTAAATAAACTGTGTGTGCGTGTGTGTGTGTGTGCGTGTGTGCGTGCGTGTGTGCGCGCGTGTGTGCGGAACACTTATACACAAAACCCAGTTGGTATACCTCAGTAGGCAATTACAGGATTGACTAATCAACAAGTTATTTGTCCGGTTCATTAAAATCATTGTGATCCATGTATGTGTGCGTGGGTTGTCGACTCTTCCTTCCTCTAATCGATAGTAATGAGCAAATTTAACGAATAACCTTGTTTATTATTAATTTATTATGATTTTCTTTAAGGGAGCCGAATTTTAACACAAACATTCATAATCAGTATAGTATTTCTTTTTTATATATCAAGACACGATGATTATAAATAGAAAAAAAAAACAAAATAATATAACTTATAAGCTAGCCAACTTATATTTATAATCACTCATCCAATAAATATTGTAAATAATTAATTCAACACGGGCAGAGTCAGATAAATAAATAAAAAGCAGTGCCCATTACGATTATAACTGCCATTTTTAATTATATTTTTAATAGAGGACAAATAAAATATTTCCATTTCATAAAAGATTAAATAATTTATTATTATTGTTACAGAATTGTTAGTATTACGAAAGAAAGAATGTGGGTGAATGAGAATTGTATGGGATCTTTTAGTTAAAATAACACAGTCCTGTGACGATATGCCACGAATGAAAAAAGATTGAATACGTACACGTACATTTTTGTCGGCCGTGTCTTCTTTTAAGAATTTAGAATGAAATAACGAAAGCACTAGTTTTCTAAAAATTTATCACGTGTGACAAAATATGTTGAATTATTATTAGGATGCCTTTTTCAATTAGAGACACGCGAAACAAAAATATTTATCTACCGTATTATTATTGTTATTATTATTATTATTATTTTATTATTTTTTTTTTTTTTTTTTAGAAATATCGAACAGCCCCTAATGTTTTGTTCAACTCGTAGTAAAAATCAAGCAACTTTTGCATTATGGCCATAATTGAAACTCCAATGAAGTTCCCTCACTGTCTAAAACAATATTAACTTGCGCGCAATCGTCCAACTCACCCAAGCTTTCTATATTTCCTACTTTCATCAACGTTCCTCGAGAGACAACTTGATTCACGTCTTTCCACCCTCTCGTTATTACATCTTAAACGTGTATACCAGTTGACTTGGTAAACTACGAGAAACATTCACGCTTGCAACGTGAATCGTTCTTTTCCTCAACGTCTATGCGAGGATCTGTTTAAAGCGAATGAGAAATGATAACCGTTTTACCGAAGCAATTTTTCTAAAAAAAATTAATGGTATTCCCTTCTCACGTCAACATGATAATGTTACACGATATTATTACGTGGTAAACAATTGATATAAGTCAATCGATTAATGTATTACTAGTTCAAAAATTGTTCACGAGCTAAGATCGACAGACGAACAATGAATTCAATGAATGAACAATGAATCTACGTGATACATCGACAATTGTCAGCCAATCGGTTAATTAGCCATAGACGACGCGACAGTACACTTGAAAAAGCAATTTTCTTTTATGGCAACGAAACCAGAACGAAACCATTCCAAGTATTATAAGTGGTCGATAAACGTGATATGCCGTTTGCTCAATTTGTTAATAATTTGAATGGCTTTAAATGGAAAATTTTGGCAAGTAACGACGTCTCGATCACGTGTCATTTGCAATCCGAATAAGCGAGTGTAATAACATTGCGATCGACAAATTTAACGATAGTCAATCGTTCATAAAGATGACCTCCACCGCTCGATAAGACCCGAAAACGTCGAGGCTAGAATTTAAAAGCTCTGAAAATTTTAACACCCAACGGGATTCCATTTCCAAGATGAGAGGGATGAGCGCAACAACTGGGTCGGTGCAGCATCCTACTCGGTCCTGTTCGGTGAAGCCGGCAAAAAATGCATCGGACGGTGAGTAAGGCGATCATCGTGGTCATAACAATTTTATATCGTTCTCCATTTATATCGGATTCCATTTTCATCTTTCTTCGTTTCCTCTTGAGCTAATTCCTATGAAAACGTAGAGAGAAATTCTTGGAGACAGGAGGAAACGAGGGCACACCAAAGGCGGTAATAAATACGATACGTGACGTAACCGCGTAAAAGGAAAGGACGATTCGACCTTCGAGTCCCTCCCTATTTAACTCTCTATCTCTCTCTCTCTCTCTCTCTCTCTCTCTCTCTCTCTCTCTCTCTCTCTCTCTCTCTATCTGGCTTCCATTTTCTTCCTCTATCGTCGCTTATCTTTAGTAAAAATCAAGAATGGGAGACAAGTAGTACGAGCAGGACGATGACGCGACAATCCTAAGAAGCCTATTTATATACATTTCGTTCCCACTTATATTTCACTTCGAAGTCTCTCTCTCTCTCTCTCTCTCTCTCAATTACTCTATGTATTTAATCTTTTTGTTTTTCTCTGTCTTTTCTTTATTACGCATCTTATTCTTGTTTTTATCTCTTTAGGTCTAGGGAACCGAACATTTGTCCGTCTTCCAATCTAAGTTTTATCCATCTATTTATCTATCAGACTATGTGTTTCTTTACACACGTACGTATGCACGTTTAGTACACAAAAACATATAGCATAGCATGTAATAAATAAGGTTGTACGTGTACGCATCTAATTGTATATATGTATTATATAATAAATGAAATCCTGACGGTAGATTGTAAATGCAATTAAAATTTCAACGAGCAAATGAGCAATTTTTATCGTTTAAAGTGGTGGAAGATTAGAGATGTGCGATGGTAAGCTGTTTTATACGTGTGTGTAGGGATTGTAGTTACTCGGTCAGGTGAGTTATTGATATTGTGCATTATGGTATTCTATTTTAAGTTTGCTTAGGCTTCTTCGTGTTCATATATTTTCAACGACGATAATTATTAATGATTTTAGCCGAGGTTATCGATTTTAATAAAATGTATAATGATATTGCTCCATCGGAGAGAGTGTTCCTGAATTATTTTATGAATACTACGATTTTATTTGGGTTATCCTTTACACGCTTCATCAACGTACAATCGACTAAAATATAAAATCACATAATTGAATAATAATAAAATATAAATCAATAGGTCTACCGATAGTTTGCCGATGATAGAAAATATTTGTCTGTATTATATGAATTAGCAGTCAAATTCGGCGACTATTCGACATTATTCAACTTCCATATCTATATCGATATTTAATACAGTTGAGAATTGGAGCAAAATCAGTTTGTATAATCAGTGAATATAATCAACCGCACTAAGCTGACATTGGGGTATATATTTTGACGAAGGGTAAGAAGGAGCATCGGGTTACCACCAGTAAGGACATAATCTTGAAAACGCAAATTAAGGCTGACTTTGGTGCGAGCAA